CTATAGATTTTTTCACTGAGTGACACTGGATCTAATGAAACACATCGCCCAACCAAGAACATTGTTTAATTTATTGATAGTTTGATAGTTTTACAGATAACGGCGTGAATTACTCTGTCAAAAAGTTAATTACACCATGATGCTTGAAATTTTTGTAATCTATTAACAAAGACGAGTTATAAGAAAATTTCTAAATGAAGTAATGCAATGATTGAATTAATGATGTTGCAATAAATTAAAAATCTCTCAAACAATGTCCCCCATTCCCCCCCATCTAGTGTACCGAATAATATTTAAATCTACCATTATCAATCAATTTAAGCGGTAGCTTTCATTCTGAGCTCTATACGTTTGTTATAAAAACCTTTGATTTGTTCCAAGGCCAAAAATGTCACTATTGTATGTGGACCTAATCTCACAAACGCCGGTACCCATCCTTTAAATAATGCAAATGGTCCTTCTCGGACGACTATTGTCTTAAGCATTGTCATAATATTTTGCTATAAATTGGAATGTGATAATAAATATGAAGTCAGTAAATGGGGATGAGGATCATCAAATTTTTAAAGAGAGAAAAAAAAAAAACCTTTTGTTTGGATCCAGAATTCATGACACGCGTCTTAATAACGTCAACCGGCGAACATATAGTCGTAGCCACCAATCCCTGAAAAATAATAAAAACATAAGAATCTATTTAATCTATCTATTTTAAAGAATGCAATTAAAAAAAAGAACTTGGTACTTACTGCCAACAAGCTGGATGTAAAATGCGTGATTATATTGTCCTGAAAATACTCGGTTTCCAATAACAATTGTTTAAATTGTTCGTAAGATGCCAACTGCGAAGAGTTCATCAATATGGCCCGATTAACGTTTGGACCTATCCCTCTTGTAAGACCCTTCATTCCTTCCTCTCTATAAATTCTAAAGAGACCCTCGAATGCATGCTTGTAATTCCGCCTTGATTCCGATGGTAATTTGGCATCGTTTTGCATTCTTACCATAACAAGATCTGCAGGGTTACCAAATGCACCACCCACACAGCCTGCCGCTGACGCACAAAAAATCTTTGCCGCAAATGAAAGGGGTTCTAGAAAATGTGATTATATAAAATATGATATCATGGTAAGTAAGGATTGAAACTAGCATATAGTCAGATCCTGCTGGTGGATGAACTGATTCCAAGATAGTTGCGAATCCATATAACCCCTGATGATGAGTTACCTCCATTTTTAGTTAGATGAGTGCGCAGTTTATCATAAATTCCAAATCTCATTGTGGAATACGTGGCCTGCCTTAATATACTGGCAGAAATGCCATTGTATATTCCAAGGATTCCTTCTTTCCTTATTATCATGATCGCAGTTCCCAAAGATCCTAGCTCGTTAGCACTAATGGTAGTTTGCATACGAACTTTAGTTGTATCCAAAGGGTGAGTAACTAAACACGAAAAACATGATGCGGCACCTGTAGAAACAATAGATGAGGTTTCAAAACATTTTGAAATAGAAAGAACTTTTGAGTGATAGGTTTTGGTTATCCACGTAATTACGTGATAAAAGAAGGAAAAAATATAATTAAACATGATCTTTGAACGATCACTTGCCTCCGAACCAAAATGGATATTTGGTATTTTTACTTCTAAACTTTCCATCTGTTTTAGAGACTAGGATGGTCGGAGGTGACACTTGGGCTGTAATTTTTGAGTTCGTAGACATTTTTTTTTAGATGAGAAATTGCGCATATTTTCGCATTTTTATTATTAAAAGATGTCTCAAATTTGTACTACGAGACATCAACAATCAATCAATCAATCTTTATGGATAATCGACGCGGATCTCCGATCTCGTGGAATTTAACACGTTCCATTATTATCATGGTACATTGGCATCTGCAGAAATTAAACTTTATTTTTAAATTTGCATAAAAAAACATGTCCAATTGTAGAAGCTGATCATTTAATGTGTTCTAAATTTGTCTTTCCTTTTAAGATATCTGATTTTTTTGAAAAAAATAATAATAATCAAGAATTTGATCTTGATTAATATATCAATGCGTTAATCTTTTATATATAATATATTAACTTTAACAGGATGAAACTATGTTGGCGTGAGTGTTGAAAAAACTGGAGTTAGTAACAACATAGTCTTAATATACAAATATGATATAGTTTGAAGGAAGGATGGAGGGCAGGGCAGGGCATGAAACGAGAGATTAAAGTACAACTTGAATGAGAAATAATGAGAAAATTAAATCTAGTAGTAGGGTTCAAGTCGTAAGAACTTTAGATAGAGGATTGTTGTGACAATTCCTTTTTGTGAATTTCTTCAAAATATGGATGTTTCAATGCGTCCTCAGCATTAATACGTTTGTCGGGTTGATATTCTATTAATTTCTGCTTGCATAAATTATAAATCAGCAAAAACCTCACTTATTATTTCACTAATAGAATCTTCCTGATAAATATTATTAACTTACACTTAATAAGTCAATGCCATGAACATCAAGTTTTGGAAGGATCGTCTCCAGAGGAATTTTCGAATAAGTCGCGAAATCATTCTGCAACTATTTCGGGAGGGAAACGTAAATACTTAACATGCAATGCGTAAATGTTAATTATTCTCTTACTTTGTAATCTGGCAGTGTTGAAACTCCTGGCCATGTTTCCTCGGTTGGGGTACCTAGAACTGTTCAGAGGTAGTCAAGGAAATAATAAACATTAATTTTAGAATAATTACAATGAGAACTTTGTACCGATATAAAAAGGATATTTAAATATTCTCAGAAGCTGATCTTTGATCGAGCTTCCCGGAAACAAGGGCCTTCCAGATGCCATTTCTTGTAAAAAAAAAATTAATAATAAACAAGTTATTATATATTCATAAAGTTCTGTCCGAAATGAAATGATTATTCTATAGAACCTGCAAATATACATCCGGCCGACCACACGTCAATGGATGTAGAGTATTGTCTTGATCCCATAAGAACGTCCGGTGCGCGATACCACAATGTTACTAC